ATATATATAATATATACATATTATCTGCAGCAGCAGCAGCAGCTGTTGATGCCGTTGCTGCTGTTGCTGCTGCTGCATATTAATAATTAAATTATAAATGGAGGGACACATTTGTGGTGTCTCCTTTAGAGTGTCTATTTATACCCTTAGCCTAACAGCAGCAGCAGCAGCAACTAGCAGCAGCAGCAACTAGCAGCAGCAGCAGCAGCAGCTAGCAGTAACTAGAAGGAGCTAGCAATAGACAAATAGAGGTAGCTAGCTACTGGCTTGTCGTCCCTATACTAGTACGCTATCTCTGCTGCTGTTGCTGCTGCTGCTGCAGTTACTGCATCTCTGCACAGGACCAGGGCAGCAGCAACACGTGCAGCAGCAGCAGCAGCAGCAGCAGCAGCAGCTGCTGCTGCTGCTGCTCTCTCATTGGTGTATTAATTTAATAGAATTGAGCGGCATTTAAAACAAAAAAAGATACCTTCCTCAATTAAACGCCTTTGCTGCAGCAGCAGCAGCTGCTGCAGCATTTGCTGCTGCTGCTGCTGCTGCTGTTGTAGCATATGTGCTGCTGCTGCAGCATATGTGCTCCTGCAGCATTTGCTGCTGCAGCATATGCGCTCCTGCAGCTTTTTTTGCTGCAAAAGCTATTCTAGCAGGTGCTGCAGCAGCAACAACTGTTCCTGCTGCAGCAGCAGGTGCTGCAGCCGCCCATAAGCGGGGAACAGTGCATGCATGCAGCAGCAGCTGTTCCTGCTGCAGCAGCTGCTGCTGCCTTATATGTGCTGTTGTTTTCTTAAGGCAGCTGTTGCTGCAGCCAAACGTTTTAGGCGGCTATCGCCGCCGCAGCAGTAGTTGCTGCTGCAGTTACTGCAGCAGCAGCAAAAGCAGCAGCAGCCGCAGCAGCAGGGGCAGCAAGACCCGCAGGTGCATGCATAATTGCATGCATTAAGCAGCAAAATGGCCCCACATCTCGGGTGTCTCTACAGGTGACGCATCGCTTAGACTCTCTCTGCTGCCAGCAAGAGGGGCAGAAGAAGATTCAAATGCTGCAGCAACAGCAGCTGCTGCTGTTGCTGCACCTGCTGCTGCTGCTGCTGCTGCTGCAGCAGGAGGCAAAGGCACTCCTGGGCCGCCTATTCCATCTGCTGCTGCTGCTGCTGCCTTTGCCAACTGAGCTGCAGCAGATATGCTGCTGCTGCCGCTGCTATTGCTGCTGCTGCTACTGCTGCTGATGCTGTTGCTGCTGCTGCCTACGCTACTGCTGCTGCAAATACTGTTGCTGTTGCTGCTGCTGTTGCTGCTGCTAATATCATTTTTCCCATTGAAGCTTCGCCCTCTGCGTCTCTTTAAGGCGTTCTTGTCTGTCTCCCACGCTGCTGCTGCTGCTGCTCCTGCTGCTCCTGCTGCTGCTGCTGCTGCTGCTGGAGCAGGCTGCTGCTGCTGTTGCTGCTGTTGCTGCTGCTGTTGCTGCTGTGTCTTGGCAGGCCGGCTCTTAGAGGGCCTCGAGCTCCTCTCTCGCTTGCGCTGCTCGCTGGCACTGCTGCTGCTGTTGCTGCTGCCTGAGCTGATAGAACCAGCAGCAGCAGCAGCAGCAGCAGGGCTACCCACATAGTCACTGCTGCTTGCCGCTGCTGCAGCAGTTGGCCTGTGCATACTCGAACCAGGCTTAGCTTCTGCTGCTGCTACTACTGCTGCTGGGTCTTGGTGCTGCCCTGGCAGCAGCAGCATTAGCTGCTGCTGCTGCTGCTGTGAAGGGTGCGGGGGCCCCACAGGCCCCCCAGTTAGCATGTAGGGTTGCTGCTGCAGCGTCTGCTCAAGCATATGCTGCTGCTGCGGCTGCTGCTGCATGCACATCATGCTTCCCTGCTGCTGCAGCATGAGCTGCTGCTGCTGCTGCTGCTGTACAGGCACCCTGTAGCGAGGGTCTTGCAGTGCTTGCTGCTGGGGCACCAGACACGGTTGCTGCTGCTGCTGCTGCAGAGGCATCTGCTGCTGTTGCAGGGGAATTTGCTGTGGCTGCACGTGGTGCATCAGCAGCAAATCTTGCTGCTGCTGCTGCTGCATGCCATATGGCACCACCATTTGGCGCTGCAGAGTTGCATGCGGCTGCTGCGGCACTCTCTGCTGCTGCTGCTGTTGTTGCTGCTGCTGTTGGTGGAATTGCTGCTGGAGCAGCTGCTGCTGCTGTTCCTCCGAGTAGGGAAGACCCACGTGCATGCGCCCAAAGACCGCATCCTGCTGCAGTTGCTGCTGTTGCTGCTGCTGCAGCAGGGGCTGCTGAGGACCGTATACATACCCATGATGAGGCATCAGCTGCTGCTGCTGCAGGTTCGGCTGCTGCATGTGCTGCTGCGGCTGCATGTGCTGCTGCTGCAGGTGCTGCGGCTGCAGGTGCTGCGGCTGGAGGTGTTGCTGCTGTTGCTGCTGCTGAGATGGAGGGGAGAACATTTCGCTTCCTCCTCCTACTGCAGCAGCACCGCCTGCTGCTGCTGCTGCTTTGGGGTTTAGCAGCAGCTGCTGATGCTGCGGCTGTGGTTGCTGTGGCTGCTGTTGCTGCTGCTGTTGTTGTGGTGGTGGTGGTTGCTGTTGCTGCTGCTGTGGCTGCTGCTGCTGCTGCAAACCCGATGCTGGCAGCTGTCCTGGGAGCTGCTGCTGTCTGTGCAGCAACTGTACCTGCTGCTGTTGCTGCGGCGGCTGTTGCTGCTGCTGCGGCCCCCCCTTGTGTTGTTGTTGCTGCTGCTGCTGCTGCAAGGTAGGCGAAGCAGCAGATGGAAGCCCAACAGCAGCAGCGTACCCCATGTGCCTTGAGGGAGACTCTCCTTGCAGCAGCAGGCCATGCTGTTGCTGCTGCTGCTGTTGCTGCTGCTGCTGCAGCTGCTGCAGCTGGTTGTCTTCCTCTTGTATACCAGACATATGCGGCAGCTGTCTTTGGTCGCTGCTGCCCGAAGCAAATGAAGGAACAGGCGAAGCAGCAGCAGCAGCAGCAGTAGTAGCAGCAGTAGCTGCTGCTGTTGCTGCTGCTGCAGTGCTCGTGCTGCGGTTGCCAGGCGGCGGTCTCCTAACGCTCCTTGAAGATCCCCCTGCTGCAGCTGCTGCTGCTGCATTTGCTGCTGCTGTATTTGGTGCTGCTGCTGTTGGTGCACCCGAAGACTTCTTGCTGCTAGAATTGTTCCCCTGACGGCCATTTGCAGCAGCAGCAACAGCAGCAGCTGCTGCTGCTGCTGCTGCTGCTGCTGTTGGTGCTGCAGCTGCCGCTGCAGTTGTATCGATAGCCTGCGCATGCGGCAAGACGGCGGCTGCCGTGTTGCTGCTGTTTCCTGCTGCAGGTGCTGCTGCAAACCCTTGAACAGCAGCACCAGCAGCAGGACCTGGAGCAGCAGCAGCAGCAGCAGCAGCAGCAGCAGGTGTTTCTGCATCAGCTAATACACCTAGCTGCAGCAAACGGCGCTGCAGCTGCTTAGCAAGTCCTCCTGCTGCTGCTTGAGGAGACCCAGAGAAGAAGCAGCAATTTAATGTTGCTGCCCAAGGGAATTGCTGCTGCAGCTGCTGCAGCTGCTGCAGCACTTCGTCTGCTGCTGCTGATAAACTCTCCACCTTCTCCTTCTGCCTCTTGAGCACAGGGGCCCAATCTGCTGCAGATATCCCGCTGCTGCTGCCGATGCTGCTGCTGCTGTTGCTGCTGCTGCTGCTAGAGTCATGGGAGGATGTGCCAAGACGGTTTAGAGCAGCAGAGGTTTTGCTGCTGCTGCTGTCGCTGCTGCTGCTGCTGCTGCCTTCTTCGTCTTCCCTATGCACCCCCTCGTCAGATTGTTTCTGCTGATGCTGGCTAGCAGAAGCAGCAGCTGCAGCTGCAGCAGCAGCAGCAGCAGCAGCAAGGGGCTTGCCTGCATCCTTAGATAGCCAAGTAAGACTCGATGCGAGGGCATCAAGAGCAGCAGCATTGCCTTTGCTTAGTAGCCATTCTGTGTATTGTGCTGCTGCTGCTTCTGCTGTTGCTGCTGCTGCTGCTGCTGCTGCAGGAGTGTCTCCTCTACTGTGCTGCAGCATATCTAATGCCCTCTGTATATAACCAAAGGGATCACTGTCTCCTTTTTGTCTCCTTTTCTCTGCTGCAGAGAAAAAAGGCTCTAATGCTGCCTCTAAACCGTCTGCTGCTGCTGCTGCATCTGCTGCATCTGCTGCTGCTGCATCTGCTGCATCTGCTGCATCTGCTGCATCTGCTGCTGTATCTTCTGCTGCATCTGATCGCTTAATCTGCCCATCAGGCAGCAGCGTAAGAGACTGTGCCTGTCCCCCTCCTAGCACAAGGAGACAGTTGTCTCCTGCAGCAGCAGCTGCTGCTGCCGCTGCTGCAGCAGATGGGGGCTTCAAGTCACACATGCTGCTGCTGCTGCTGGTGCGCCTGCTGCTGCTGCTGGTGCTGGTAAAACTTGGCTCGCTCTTCTCATCCTTTCCCTCCTGCTTTACACCAGCAGCAGCAGAAGCAGCAGCATCCTTAACAGCAGCAGCAGCAGCAGCAGCAGCAGGGGTGCCGCAAACCACCTCCATTATTCTTTTTTCCCTATCTATGCGGCGTTGTACATCTGCTGCTGCTGCTTCTTCTGCTGCTGCCCAGGTAGCAGATTGCTGCTGACAAGCCTCAGCTAGTGCTGCAGCCCGTGCTGCTGCTGCTGCTGCTGCACCTACTGGCTGCTGCGGCAGCAGCAGCAGCGCAGCAGCACTGTCTGCTTCACTCCCCCATGAGCAGCTAGGAGATGAAGCCGTTGCTGTATCTATTAGCAGCAAATGTTGCTGCTGCTGCTGCTCTTGCCATGCTGCAGCATCTGCTGCTGCTGCTGTATCTGGGTCGAGCCCTGCTGCTTCTGCTGCAGCAGCAGCTGCTGCTGCTGCTTCTGCTGCAGCACGCGCCTTTGCTAGTCGCCGCCGCCTCGAACTTGCACTCATACCTGGGGGCCTAGACCCTGGGTTATTTGACGGCAGCAGCACAGCAGCAGCAGCAGCGGCAGCAGCAGCAGCAGGACTTAAAGCCAATCGTGGGGGTGAATCAGCAGGTACTGCTGCAGCTGGAGCAGCAGCAGCAGCAGCAGTTGCTGCTGCAGCAGCAGCAGCAGCAGCAGGGACAAGCTTGTTGCGAGACTCCCATCTACCAAGAGCGTTCCTCACAGGACCCTTTGGGACTGCTGCTGCTGCTGCTGCTGCTGCTGTTGCTGCTACTGCTGCTGCAGTTGAGGGCAGCAAGCCCGGCAATCCTGCAGCAGCTGCTGCCTTCTGCGCCTTTCGTTGCTGCTGCTGCTGCTGCAGTGATGCAGCATCTGTTGAACCTTGAGTGGAGAACTGAAGGGAATCTGCTGCTGCTGCTGCTGCTGCAGGTAGGTGCTGCTGCGGGTGCAGCAGCGCAGCAATCTCCGAGACACGCCAAATCCTATACACTCCCTCCTGGCGCTGCTGCTGCAGCTTCTGCTGCTGCTGCTGCAGCAAGAACTGCTGCTGCTGCAGCTGCGCAGCAGCATTATTCGTGATGCTGCTGCTGTTGCTGCCCTGTGAGTCCTGCTCTTGCGACTGCTGCTGCTGCTGCTGCTGCAGGGGCTGCACTGCACTTGCTGCAACGGCGAGCTGCTGCTGCTGCTGCTGAAACTGCTGCTGCTGCTGCTGCGCTATCTTTAAACATGCTTCAAGACACACAGCAACCTCCCCTGCTGCTGCTGCTGCTGCAGCAGCAGCAGCAGCAGAATCGACATCCAGTGAAAGGTCGGCGCTGCCTATACACCGAACTCTGTACACCCCACTACCTTGCTGCTGCTGCGGCTGCTGCTGCTGCTGCTGCTGTGGCTGAGGCGTGTATCCTGCAGCAGCTGCTGCTGCTGCTGTCAGCTCTTCTACCCATACGCCACATTCTATTGGTCCCTCTCCTGCAGCAGCAGCAGCAGCGCGAGCCTTCTGGTTGCGTCTACGCTGGCTGCTGCTGCTGCTGCTGCTGCTGCCGGTCGTGGGCGTTTTCTTCTTGCCCGCAGTTCCAGCAATAGGAGCAGCAGCAGCAGCTGCTGCTGCTGCAGCCTTTGCTTCCTCTGAATTGCCATCACTGCTGACAGCGCTGCTGCTGAGTGTACTCGTAGCCCCAGCAGCAGCAGGACCACCAGCAGCAGCAGCACCTGCAGCAGCAACAGGAGCAGCAGCAGCACCTGCAGCAGGAGGCAGCAGCATGCCTCCTTGTATCCGCCTAAAATATCCTTCCCCTTTTGCTGCTCTCCTTAGGGAGCGACCCCCCGAGTTTAGCTGCTGCTGCAGCTCAGCAGCAGCAGCAGCAGCATTATCTCCTGTTACTACACCTAGCTTCCTTAATGCAGCAGCAAGACGTGCAGCAGGCTTGCTGCTGTTGCGGCTGCTGCTGCTGCCGCCGCCGCTGCCGCTTCGCAAACCTACGCCAATTGGTCCCCCTCTTCCGCTGCTCGCTGCTGGAGCAGCAGCTGCTGCTGCTCCTGCTGCTGCTCCTGCCGCTGCAGGTGCAGCAGCAGCCGGTTGAGCAACAGCACCAGGGGCAGCAAAAGCTGCTGCTGCCTCTGATGTTTGTGCTGCTGCTTGTCCCCCATCAAAGGGAAGCTGCTGCTGCTGCTGCTGCTGAAGAATATTATCTTGACAAGAGGAGTACTGCGGTTGCTGCTGCTGCTCATGCGGCTGTTGTAGCTGCTGCTGCTGCTGCAGCTGCTGCTGATCATCCGGCTGTTGCTGCTGCTGCTCCTGCTGCATGAAAAATGGAGCACATTCTCCCTGAGGCTGCTGCTGCTGCTGCTCCAGACCTGCTGGCAAACCTCCTGCAGCAACAGGAGTACCTGCTGCAGCCCCTGCTGTTGCTGCTGTTGCTGCTGCTGCAGAAGCAGCAGCCACAGGCATTCCGTTCCATGTGAAGGGAATCTCCTCGTGAGCAAAAGGCAAAGGGGGTCGCTGATCTGCTGCTGCTGCTGCTGCTGCTGCTGCGTCTGCTGCTGTTGTTGCTGCTGCTGCGACAGCTGCTGCGTCCGCTGGAGTGTCCATGCTGCTGCTGCTGCTGCTGCTGCCGCCGCTGCTGCTGCTCCCGCGTTGCCTCTGCCACTGCTGCAGCGTCTAAGCTGCAGCAATCGTGATGCTGCTGTGCATGGGGCCCTAAAGAGCCTGCCTCGAGGCAGCTGATCTGTCTGCTCCTGCTGCTGCTCCTGCTGCTGCTCCTGCTGCTGCTCTTGCTGCTGCTGTGTTACTGATCCTTATGATGGAGTAGGCTGTGGCTCTGGCACTGCTCCTGCTCGATTGCTGCTGCTGCAGCAGCTGCTGCTGCTGCTGCCGTATGTTTATACCTCTGCAGTCTCAGTTGCAGGCCCCCATCCTCGGCCCCTGCTGCTGTTGCTGCTGCAGCTGTTGCTGCGGCTGCAGCTGGTGGTATAGATGCAGCAGTTATTGCTGCTGGTGGTGCTGCTGCAGCAACTGCTGCAGCAGGAACAGCAGCAGCAAGCGCATGCAGCGCGGTGGAGAGAAGGCCTC